CTTTTAATTTACACTATTAGTAGTAACGGATTTATGTTTGTTTACATGTTTGATATGAAATGTTGTCCATTTATTGTCTTGGTTTATAATGATTTTCACGTCTCCTGATTGGATAACTTAAATTTATTTTTTGTGACTAGAACCAGGATTTTAAATTTTTTTTTAAAAAAATCAACTTTTGTGAGAATGACAATAATTAAATTCATAAACTTCAACAAAAAATCTATATCTATGATTGGACGAGAAAATCGACGAGGTAGGCGGAGACAGTCTGTCATTACTAGTGTTCCTACCTATGGACTAATTGTTTTTCGTTCGGTTCTGTGTACCTTTGAACCGTCATTTTGCACGAAATTGCACAAGAAGCTTACAAAAAACGATAGATGAGAAGAAAAAGATTATCAAAAGACAATAAAAACAAATTCTTATGTACACGACATTATTGGTATTTCTTGTCTGCAAAGTGTGACAGTTTTTAAATGTTGTGACATAACCCTTTATCTTAAAAAAACTGTTAAACAGTATTTTTTTTTTAGACGTTTTCCTTGTGTAGTTTTTTCCATTCAATTACTACGCGTTTGCTTATGTTTGTCATGTGTCACATTCCTTGAAGTTCGAGCAAATGGATTAAATATTGTTCGATCGATTCGTCTGGATCTATATGTAAATTAGTACACCATCTGCATGCAGTTTCCACATGCTGGGAAACAAGCACGAAGCTTCATCTTCTTTGTTTATCGTTCACTAGGAATTTCGTTTTCGTTGAAAAGGAAAAAAAAAAGTAATAGAAAAAGTATCATCTTATGCAAGTGGCAACAATGGTACCATTTATGGTATATTTCTTTAACAATGGATCATGGTGTCTTGACCAAGGTACAATTTTGGATATTTAATCATGCCTTTTTTATTATTTTGTTTGTTAACATTGTGTGTGCATCTGTTGTTTCTAGTAAAATATTATATCGAGTATTACTTAGCAAATATTGTAGGAAAAATTACAGCAAAGATGATACTCTAAATCAATTAATCATTTGATTGGTGTAGAGGATTAGGAATCAAGACTATTAATATAAGCCTTGATGGATCTCATTCCCTCTTTCAGATATTGTATCATGCCTTTTCTCCCTTCCTCGACCTTTCTTATTCCATCAATTGTCCCTTCTATCTTTCTTTTGGAACCAGGATGAAGATAAATTGTTTTGTGTAAAACAGTGACTGAATTTTCGTGTGCAATTAGTTCTCTTCGGAGTTCTAATGCAAGGCCCACATAATAACATCATGGACATTTAATCTATTCATTTTAGCCGGTCAGAGATGTTTGAATAGGTTAAATGGCTTTGATGAGATGTTATTGGCCTTCACATTATAACTCGAAAGAGATCCAATTGGGAGAAGATGTAAGATCGACATCAACGACCACTGTTAATCAAGAAATCTTTTGTGTCAAGAGAAGATTTCTTCATTGAAGCCATTGAAGTAGACGTAGAAAATGCGATCATGGCACTACATGATGGCTCCGAATATACCGGGACGCACAGAGAGCACACGCGCTCGTGAATTTGCATTCTAGACTAAGAACAGTGATGCTTATGCTCTTTTTTTTCTTATTATTTGAAAAAAAAAAACCATAGTAAACCATTCTGAAACTCCTTAATATTACACATTCGTCATTCAGTTTTATAAAATTAAATCAGAAATTAAAACAGCCCTTGGTAGCTCGAGGGACATTGTCTCGGCATCTCTACTTTGGTAATTAGATCGGTCATGAAATCTTACTAACTAATGGAAATGAATGAAGGTTTAGATGAAGGTAATTGTAGAATTTTCTTAATATCAAGGAATTAAATTTTATTTTTTATTTTACGGTATGTTCTTTTCTGTTTTACATTGCAAATGCTCATATAGTTATAAGTTTTTTAAAAGTACTACCTATCAATATAGTCAACATTGATTTTAAAATTTATACGAGTTTTAATATAAATTTTAAAACTCAGTATGTGATATTTTTTAGAATAGAGGGAGTATAAGTTACCATGGAATAAAAGAAAGACAAATACCATAGTTCACTAGTCAATCAGCAAAGCATAATTCTGTTTCAACTATGTAAATTTTGGTAATGAAATTTGTCACAAATCAAATTATGTAGTATACCTTTACAATAGAGAATAAAAGCGACCTCCAAACATGGTATTATTATTATTATTCTATAATCGGAGAAAGAAGTTTTTGCCTTTTAAGAGCATGAATCGGATAAAAACAATATTTGTAGTTTGTGATACTCTTAAGACATTAGGTGTGAAGTATTTTTTCAAACTTAACCAAGGGCAATGCACCTTATTATTATGCATAACAAATTTTGAGGGAAAGAGAAAATAGTCGGGAGACACTAGAGGATTCAGATAGCACAAAGCCATCGATGAACGAAACTAAAACTTTAGCTACATCAAATTTTATCAGATTCGTAAATTAGTTTCCGGCTAATGTTATGATTTTGATAACTTCAATGTTTCGTGTCACAGAATTAAAATAAGCGGAGCAAAAGTGAACCATGCGTTCATTTTGTGCAATTCATAGAATATATATTTTGGTAAAGAGGTTAATTTGATTACCTTGTTGAATGTCGTGACTACAACACACTTCCATAAACGCATACCCACACTCCTTTGTCCAACCGTTATAGATATATATCTTACACAATAATCCTAAAACACTTTCTACGCTATCATATTAAATTTATCGAATTTTAATTTCTATTATTATTATTATTATTAATTTTACTAACATCCTAATTCAGCATTGGATAAATATGTTCGACCATGTGTCTAAATCTTGATGAGTTATGTAGGAAGTAGTGTAGGCTATAGTATAAGAGATTTTTGGACGAACACCATAAATCAATTTCAGTCCGACATCTCCTATCACGGGATCTAGAAAAATTCTATTACATACAGTAAGTTAAGATTTCTGAAGAATTAGGCACCTTTGAATTGAAGCAAATATAATTTTCAGTTGAAAGATAATTTGGCCAATCACCGTCGACTCTTCAGCATGTTCACCTTCAAAAATGAAACTATTTGTTGCTTCCCATACATGATTAATTGTTGCACACTATCGAACTTTCTTAGAAATGCGCAAAATATACATCTTCCATTTTTTAAAATGATGACTAATAAGAGTATCCAAAGTGAATGGAAGTTTCTATCCATTAAAATCACATATTGGTTAGTTGTTTCCTTATGCTGATGACAAAATACAAGCATTGTCTATTTATGGTTCATAGCCAGGACGCTGTCTTTGCAATATAAACATGCATGATGTAAAAGAGAATCTCGGAAATAACGAAAATGCAAATTAGTGTAGTATGTCTTGTCTTGTAGGATTGGCTAAATTAGATATCATTGTGTTAGCCTAATAATTGAATGCGGTCACTTTACCTTATGATCAAAGTAATAATTGTCTATTCTCAAAAATCATTAATTATTACTCAAGGCGAATAACAAATTAATTGACCATCATTGATGTGATGATTCATTTCCAGCCTGAACTATTACATGCATGCAAAATTCCGGTAGCTTCCTCACTACCTTCTTCTGCCCGGACAATATTCATTTCCGCTACCTGCTTTTGGGTACGTGCTGCCAGGCCGGAATAACGTAAAGCAACTACGCTACAAATATATGCCCATTTGTGAATGAAACTAAAAATCCCTTTAATTTTTTGCCTACATTAATTGTCGTTACGTACCCGCCATGCTCATGTGAATTTTGCTCAAGGATTTTGTTACAGAAGTACTTGATTATACTTAAAGTTTGTAGATTAGTACAAGTATCTATCTATAACAGGTTGAATACGTCCCTCAGTTCTCCTTTTTATTTGCTAAACATTAGAGTAACGAATAAGTAGCTTTCTTGTCCCAACATGAGAGGCTGCTCAGTCTTAAAAAGAGTCATCTGAATTTCTTGTCCCAAAGTGTGCATAGGATCTGAATATTAATCATATTTGCACTCTGTATTTGCACATCTTCAAGAAACTTCTAAGGCATCTGCACTTTCTCATTAGAGATTCTGTTGAGTAGGGCATCTAACGCTTATATTACGTTTGATACATGAGGGAGAAGAATGGAAATGTATGAGAGATATGCTCCTGCTCAGTAGCTAATAGTTTATGTCTAACAAAACATACACAAAGAGATATCCACGTTAGATATATTGAGTGCGGAGAAATAATCTTGTAATGAATTTACGAACAAAATGTTGATATCCCTCCTTTATCCTAAAAATTAAAAGTCGGGGCTAGTATTGATCTATTTGATTTTAGCGTGAGTTTTGAGTGTGCAGATACGATTATGATATGAATAATCACAATTTATGGTGAAATAAAATAGTATCTTATAAAAACAAACAAAAATATTACTCCCACTAAACATGCATGGGTGGTTTTAATAAGGGATAAAAATATAATTGTAGGAGAAAATACTTTTTCAACCGAAAAGTGACCAAAAAATAGGGACTCATAAGATTTCACATGGGTCACTATTTTTTTTTTTCGCCTATTGCTTTTTCAATATACATATCATTATTCGTGAAGATATTGTGTCATGTACCAAAATCGTTGATCATTGAGCAAATTCAATCCCGTGGCTCTTCGGTGAAGATTTTTAAACTAGCCCATCATGTAATGAACTAATTGCAAACAGGGTCCAATGATGTCCTAGAACACTATCAAACATTTGAATTTCTTTACCCTTTCCAATATGTATTTAATGCAAACATTTTAGATGCCCTAGTTAACAGAATCTTTTACGAGAAAATGAAGACGCCTTGGAAGCTTTCAAGACATCATGGAGAGTATAATTTTCCTCTCGATGTTGCAGAGAGTAGACATTCTCAATTTTCCAACTATAGTTTTAAGGTATTATTATTATCATTATTATTATTATTATTATTATTATTATTATTTTTTTCTTTTTGAAGTGCATGTCCAAAACGAAGCCTACATAAATCCAACTCCTCGTTCACGACTCCTTAGAATTGCAAGTGTAGAATTCGCACACTTTTCTCGAATCTTAGTGATTGATTCTCTGAATCCTATTCATTTTTTCTAGACAATTTTTGGGACTTTGATAATAACAAGGTTCTTTCTTTATTATCATATATGCAACGTGCTCAAGTTTCAGAAGCATTTTCCTTTGAAATTTGGTTCGGGTTTTCTCCTCTGTCAAGGGAGAATAGGGCAAGATCATCTTCACTACGTCAATTGTTTCTAGATACTAATTATTCGTCGTGTAGCCTTACCCACCATTTTGAGTATGATGATCCAGTTTCTTCTTGTAATTGGGTTGCTATTGAGTTCATATGTGGAATCGAACTTAATCTTCCCAAAACCTAACATATTTATCTTGGCCGGACAAAGTAATATGGCCGGCCGAGGTGGAGTGAAAAAAGGTGTTTGGGATGGGAATGTTCCCCCGGAGTGCCAACCAAATCCATCCATTCTCCGGCTCTCTGCAAACTACATCTGGGAGGAAGCGAAAGAGCCACTGCATAAGGACATTGACGTGGCAAAACCTGCAGGGATTGGTCCAGGTATGCCGTTTGCAAATTCGGTGCTGCGCAAGGACCCGTATATCGGGTTTATCGGTTTGGTGCCCTGTGCTATCGGAGGTACGCAGATAAGTGAATGGGAGCGTGGTACTCAAAATTACAACCGGTTAATTGATAGAACAAGATTCGCCATGAGAAGTGGAGGATTTATCCGAGCAATCTTGTGGTATCAAGGTGAGAGTGATACTAATACTGACGTGGATACCATCTCCTACAAGAAGAAACTGGAAAAATTCTTTTTAGATGTTCGAGCAGATTTGCTTTTGCCATTTCTTCCTATTATTCAGGTCGGCAATGTCCCTTAAATATAATTATCTCCTCCAACTAATATCGTGTTTTTTTTTTTACTTAATTTCAAAAACTTATATTATTCATTTTCATGATCTAGGTGGCGATAATATCTGGAATTAACACAAAGGATATTGACATTGTACGACAAGCACAATTGAAAACCAGACTTCCAAACGTGCGATGCGTCGATCCCAAAGGCCTCCCACTAAAAGATGATTATTTGCATCTTACAACCCCATCCCAAGTCAAGCTTGGACAAATGTTGGCTGCTGCTTTTCTCAAGTTTCCTAACTCAGTTTCAGGTAATGCTCCATAAATTTTCTGACTATTTTTCTCCTTTATTTAATTAAGCGCGAGAAATCAAATTTATTTTCTAGTTTATTTGGCTCATTGCAACTATAAGTATTCTTGAAATTATTGACATCAGCTCTTGTTTTAGCAGAAAAGTGGAATAACACAAAACCTTGATAAGAGGACGAGACAACAGCTGATTTGGAGGGGACAATAATGTTTCTGCTTTTGGTCTTACCATCATCATCATCATCATCATCATCATTATTGTTGTTGTTGTTGTTGTTGTTGTTGTTATTATTATTATTATTTGGGTTCAACTACTTATATGTACCTTTTTGTTGTAATTATGCATTCTATAACTATGAGATTAATACAAATTGTCAATATATAAGATCTTGAATTATATATCTTGATTACTGGTTGTGTTTATTTTTAAGTGTTTTGGCTATTAATAAGTCATTACTTCAACGTTGTGGACGATTAAGATTTGTTTTTCGAAAAAAAAAAAAAAATATTGTAACAATATTGGAGCGCATTTCTGGACCCATCAGAAAAAATGTTTAGTATTTCATCGGACTTAAAGTATCCTTATATGTATAATAACTGGACACCGCCTTTGCATGTATGATCTCCTGAAACTGAATGCGTCTCGAGAAGTACCCTATTGGGACGTTTGCGGCATCGCTAATCCCTTATATCTTGTGGCCTCGTTATTAATATTGCAGTTTTAATCCTTAATGAAATTATTCAGCTATTGGATTTTCGTTCCTTTCAATTGTAATTGTCTTAATTTATACGTAGAGAATACAGTATATAGCCTACCCATGGTTCCTCGCCTGTTAATTCCCCCGTGGTGAAAGTTCTTTATTATTACTCAGATTATTAACGCATAATATCTCAAGGCAATTCCTAAAATGACTTATAACTTCCTAGGAAATGTAGTTTAATATTCCTTCTAATTGTACAGTTTGAATTTTCATTTTTAGTTAAAATTATATTAAAATTGAAATCTAAAATTGGACAATAATTTTGGAATAGGGAATATCCAACATTCCAACTCTTTCCGAAAAGGAGTTTAATACTAACTTAGCTTCTCTACAGATTAATACTCTCCAAAATCTGGGACGCAACATGGTAATAATAACGAAGATAAATATGTTAATATAATTGATGAAAGGCCAAAGAAAAAAAAAATAGCTCATTATTCGATAACAATAGTCTACATTGAACAACTCTTATTGGTAAAAATAATAGGACATGCATGCGTTACAATGACATGCAGCTGGATATTTTTTTACTTTTTAAAGAGACAAACAGACAGTGAAATGACAAAGGAATTCCTAATTACCGGGCAAAAGAAAGAATAACTTTGTAGAGAATTCTCTATTTTTTTTCACATTATCATTTTTCTTCTTTTGGGGGTGTAATGATAAAAATGTAAACCTTTGAACTAGAATTATAAAGTTGTTCCACCAAACCCGTATTAGGAATAACTGGATGTAAAATTATGTTATCAAGATTTTGTTAACGGAATCAGTCATACTCTATCTCAAATTTATAATTCCTCATTTTTCACTTTTAATTCAATTTATACTACAACTAAAAAATCAAACAAGATAGTAATTTCAGAATGGAATGAGGTGTGATACTAGAGACTTAAATATTTTGCATTTATATACTAACTAATATTTGTAACACCTGTAACGTAAAAAAAATTAAGACTACGTTAATCTATCTTCATCTAATTAAATGCTATTTACTTTAATATTAGCTAAGCAAATCTTGTTTTACGAGTATATATACTAAATGTGAAACTCAGTTTCTGCATAGGAAAAAAATCATTTCATACGTAGAAAATCTTACATTAAGCCAAGAAACAATATGGATTGTTACAGGTTTTATCATCTGCTGCTCGTCGCCACAATGCTACTCGTACTCGTCGCAATATCAATTGTTGATGCTCAGGATTATCCTCCAAGGTTCTTAGAAGTGGATCCAAAGGACTCCGAAATAATTGAGAATGGCAAATTCGCAATTGATGCCCACAATGTAAAAGAAAACGAGAACCTAGAATACAGGTCAGTTCTTAGGGCTGAAAAACAAACTTGGCATCGCTTGAAATTTAATCTACTTATTAACACGACAGGCAATGCTTTGTATCAGACCTTCGTTTTAACTGGGTTGGGTAAGGAAACAAAAGATAAAGAGTTGGGGTCTTTCTGGAATGTAGATGATCCACGCCATTTTATTTCTTGGATTGATGAATAATTACTAGAAAGCCTGCTGCATTCCTTATAATAACAATGTAGAAAGCTATATATATATATATAAGGTATCTACATAATTTGGTTTGTAACGAATTCTGTTACCTAAAAAATATTTATTTTATAGACAAGCTTATTGTATGATCGTGGGACTCTGTAACGGGCATTTGTCTCTCTTTATTCCGAAACTTACACTTTTTAAAAACTTATAACAAATACCTGAGTATATGTCATTTGAAATAAAAAGACGGTCGCGTAAAATAGAGAGTAAAATTCGGTTCAATGATACAAACAAGATTCTACAGCTACTAAAATTTCAGTTAGTCCTTATTTTTTCCTATTATTAGTAACCTAAATATATATTTTTCAGTAGCAAAACTAACAATATAACCCTTTCTCGTAGTGGATTAATTATTATACCAATGTTTAGTGATGCGGGGATGATATCCCCCGAGCTGTAAAAAAATTTGGAAAGATAAATTGTTAAAAAAAAAAAAACTAATCCAACAAACATAAAATATATATATATATATATAAATATATTATGTTCGATTTTTTAATGGACTAGTTCTGGGCGATTGCACGACCAATTCGTAATTCTCAAGTTGAAATAACAAATAATCGTAACAAATGTTTTTTATTATAAATAAACAAATACTGTTGCTATTAACATCATAGATTTCTGTTTGTCTTTGAGAAGTTTCATTACAGTGAATATTAGTTGGAATACTTATCTCTAGACATATAACAGTGTATTTCTATATAATTGCGTGTTCAGGCTAGCGTTATTTTAACTCATCTTACTTTATCATATTGGCGGCATCTTTCTTTTTTGGAGGATACTGGTATTCAAATTGATGGGAGATAACAACAACAGTTCGAATATGAAGGACAACAACAGCTCGAATGAATGATACTTATTTGCATCAACACAATTAATAATTCTTCCCTTTGAAGGTTCCTCGATCTGTAGACCAGTGATCGCATAATTAATGAATATTGCTATTACAATATTGGGAAGTTATGGATAGACAGATTGCAAAAGAAAAGGTGCCTGATAAAGAGCCAACCCACGGGACTTCAAAAAAAGAAACAAGGGGGTCAAAAACGGCAATGAAGCTGACGAAAAGCTCACAACTACAATAAAATCACAAGCTTAATATGCGATAATCTCAAAAGAACAATCTTTTGCACCAAGCATTACTAAACTATATGCAAGAGCATCATAAAACATTAGTAACCAAAACCCAAACCCCTCTAAATTCAATCTTAAACTTTACCTAACTTTATCACGAAAACCACGAATCATAGGTATAACTAATCCAGAAAGTAAAAGAATTATTATATCATGAAACAATCAATTTAAATCGTAATCTGAAACGACTCAATTTAGAACTAAAATTATTTAAAACAAAAAACGCTAAACAAACCAAGCTATTAAAGAATGATTACGTACTATTCATTCTTTTGCATATGTTTTTTGGGAAGAAATTAGAATATTTGATTAATGCTTACTTGAAAGTGTGTAAAACTCAAAAATTTTGACGCAACCGAAGGAAGAAAAAGGGAAAAAAAAATGCGCGCAAACCATCTGGGAAATAGACACATCAGGACCACAATCAATCAATCAAAGCAAAGTTTAGATAAATTTAATGAGTCTAAAAACAGTTTCGGTGACTCTGGACTTTCTGAATCCCTTAATGTCTTTTCTTCTTTTCTTCTCTTCTTTGAATTTAATAAGTTTCTCATTGATAGTTTAGATTGTACCATAATTTAAAAAAATATTAAAATCATATAGCATAAAAATATATAGTTTATAATGAAATATATGCCCATTTGAGGACGAAACTAAAAATCCCTTTATTTTTTTGCCTACATTAATTGTCGTTACGTACCCGCCATGCTCATGTGAATTTTGCTCGAGGATTTTGCTACAGAAGTACGTGATTATACTTAAAGTTTGTAGATTAATACAAGTATCTGTAACAGGTTGAATAAGTCCCTCAGTTTTACTTTTTATTTGCTAAACATTAGATTAACGAATGGTTTTCTTGTGCCAACATGAGAGGCTGCTCACTCTTAAAAAGAGTTATCTGAATTTCTTGTCCATAAGTGTGCATAGGATCTGAATATTAACCATATTTGCACTCTGTATTTTTGGGAGGGATATTCCAGCATTTATCACATCTTCAAGAAACTTCTAAGGCATCTACACTTTCTCATTAGAGATTCTGTTGACTAGGGCATCTAACACTTATATTACGTTTGATACATGAGGGAGAAGAATGGAAATGTACGAGAGATATGCTCCTCCAAAGTAGCTACTATTTTATGGCTAACAAAACATACACAAACAGATATCCACTTTAGATATATTGAGTGCGGAGAAATAATATTGTAATGAATTTACGAACAAAATGTTGATATGCCTCCTTTATCGTAAAAATTAAAAGTCGGAGCTAGTATTGATCTATTTGATTTTAGGGTGAGTTTTGAGTGTGCAGATTATGATAGCAATAGTGACAATTTATAGTGAAATGAAATAGTATCTTATGGAAAAAAAAAACAAATATATCACTTCCACTAAACATGCATGGGTCGTATTTAATCAAGGATAGAAATATGATTGAAGGAGAAAATATATTTTCAACGAAAAGTGACCAAAAGAAAGGGAGTCATATGATTCCAAATGGGTCACTATTTTTTTTTCACCTATTGTTTTTTAAATCTACATATCATTTTGCGTGAAGATATTGTGTCATGTACCAAAATCGTTGATCATTGAGCAAATTCAATCCCGTGGCTCTTCGGTGAAGATTTTTGAACTAGCACATCATGTAATCAAATAATTGCAGACAGGACACAATGATGTCCTAGAACACTATCAAACATTTGAATTTCTTTCCACTTTCCAATATGTATTTAACGCAAACATTTTAGATGCCCTGGTTAACAGAGTCTTTTAGGAGAAAATGAAGATGCCTTGGAATCTTTCAAGACACCATGGAGAGTATAATTCTCGATGTTGCAGAGTGTAGACATTCTCAATTTTCCAACTATTGTTTTAAGGAATTTTTTTGTTTTTTTTGTTTTTTTTGTTTTTTGAAGTGCATGTCAAAAACGAAGCCTATATAAATCAAACTCTTCGTTCACGATTCCTTACAATTGCAAGTGCAGAATATACACACTTTTCTCGAATCTTAGTGATTGATTCTCTGAATCCTATTCATTTTTTCTAGCCAATTTTTGGGACTTTGATAATAACAAGGTTCTTTCTTCATTATCATATATGCAACGTGCTCAAATTTCAGAAGCATTTTCCTCTGAAATTTGATTCGGGTTTTCTCCTCCGTGAAGGGAGAATAGGGCAATATCATCTTCACTACGTCAATTGTTTTTATATACTAATTATTCGTCGTGTAGCCTTACCCACCATTTTGAGTATGATGATCCAGTTTCTTCTTGTAATTGGGTTGCTATTGAGTTCATATGTGGAAGCGAACTTAATCTTCCAAAAACCTAACATATTTATCTTGGCCGGACAAAGTAATATGGCCGGCCGAGGTGGGGTGAAAAAAGGTGTTTGGGACGGGAATGCTCCCCCGGAGTGCCAACCAAATCCATCCATTCTCCGGCTCTCTGCAACTACATCTGGGAGGAAGCGAAAGAGCCACTACATAAGGACATTGATGTGGGAAAACCTGCTGGGATTGGTCCAGGTATGCCGTTTGCAAATTCGGTGCTGCGCAAGGACCCGTATATCGGGTTTGGTGCCCTGTGCCATCGGAGGTACGCAGATAAGTCAATGGGAGCGTGGTACTGAAAATTACAACCGCTTAATTGATAGAACAAGATTCGCCATGACAAGTGGAGGATTTATCCGAGCAATCTTGTGGTATCAAGGTGAGAGTGATACTGATGATGATGCAGAAGCCACCTCCTACAAGCAAAAACTGGAAAATTTCTTTTTAGATGTTCGAGCTGATTTGGTTTGCCATTTCTTCCAATCATTCAGCTCAGCATATCACTTTAATATTAATTATCCCCCAGCTAATACCGTGTTTTTTTTTACATAGTTTCAAAATTTACGTTATATATTTGTATGATATAGGTGGCGATAATTTCTGGAAACAACACAAAGGATATTAACATTATACGTCAAATACAATTAGAAACAAGAATTCCAAACGTGCGATGTGTCGATCCCAAAGGCCTCCCACTGAAAGGTGATAATTTGCATCTTACAACTCCATCCCAAGTCAGGCTTGGACAAACGTTGGCTAATACTTTCCTTAAGTTTCCGCACCCAGGTTCACGTAAGGTTCCATAAATTTGCTGAAGGTTTTTCTCGTATATTTAACTAAGCTCGAACAATCAACTTTATTTTGTTGTTGATTTGGCTCAATGAAACTATATGTATTCTTAGAAGTCAATTGTTGCCCTTGTTTTAACAGAAAAGTGGAACACCACTAAACCTTGACAAGAGGACGAGACAATAGCTGATTCATTGGGGAGAATAATTTTGTTGTTTTTGTTATTATTATTATCATCATCATAATCATCATCTTTTTTATTATTATTATATGTGATTATTATTATTATTATTATTATTATTATTATTTGGCTTCAACTAGTTATATACCTTTTTGTTGTAATTATGCATTGTATAACTATGAGATTATGCACATTGTCAATATAACATTTTGAATTATATATCCTTAATAATTATATATCCATAATTATGCATTGTATAACTATGAGTTATTATTCTTTAATGAATGACATTATTCCTTTAATGAACATTAATATTAGTTAACTTAGCTTCTCTATAGATTAATACTTTCTTAAACTGGGATGCAACTTAGTAGCTATAACGAAGATAGATATGTTAATATAACTGACGAAAGGCATGTTGAGATTATTTACCTCAAAGAGGCAAACAAACGGTAGAAGACAACGGAACTCCTAATTACAAGGCAAAAGAAACAATAACTTTCTAGAAAATGTTTTTTGAGTGCTTTTGTTTTGTTTTTGTTTTTGTTTTTTTTTTTTTTTTGAGTACACTACTAAGAATCTAAAACTTTAGTTCAATTGTAAAGTTTTAATTTGTACCAAAACCGTATACTGGATGTAAAATTATGTTATCGGGGTTTTGTTTTTTCATAACGTAATCTGTCATATTCGCTCCGTCCCATAATTATTATCCAGTTTTACTAAAATAAAAGATTTTATTTTTAATCAAACTAAACTATATTTTACCTTGATTAACCGGATATATCCCTACATAAGTAATTGTTTAAGCACAAAGATTTTATGGATAATGTTTTTTACTAAAGACAAATGTGTATTTTGATCCATAAAAAGTCAAATTGGACAATAATTTTGGGACAAAAGTTTTTAGGCAAAGTGGACAATAATTATGGGATGGAGGGAGTATATAATACTCGAGTCTTAAATACTCTGCATCTAGTGTAAAAGAATGAAAAAATAAATTTACTAATAACTAATATCTGTAATACAACGTAAAAAAATTTAAGGCTATACATTAATCTATCTTTATCTAATTAAGTGCTATTACCTTTAAGATTAGCTATACAAATCTGGTTTTACTAGTATATATACATATATATTTTTTATATATATATATATATATTACTTTTGAAACTCTGTCTCTGCATACGAAAAAATCATTTCATACATAGAAAAATTTCAACAAGTTTAAAAATCTTACATTAAGCCAAGAAATAACATGGATTATTCCAGGTTTTATCATCCGCTGCTCGTCGCCACGATGCTAGTCTTTGTCCTCGCAATTTCAATTGTTGATGCTCAGGATTATCCTCCAAGGTTCTTAGAAGTGGATCCAAAGGACTCCGAAATAATTGAGAATGGGAAATTCGCAATTGATGCCCACAACGCGAAAGAAAACGATAACCTAAAATATAGGTCAGTTCTTAGGGCCGAAAAACAAACGTGGCATCAGCTGACATTTAATCTACTTATTAAAACGAGATATGGTTTGTATCAGACCTACGTTTTCACGGGGGTGGGTAAAGACACAAAACATAAAAAGCTGGGGTCTTTCTGGAAATTAGGTAGTCCACGTGAGTTTATTTCATGGCTTGATGAATAATTACTAGAAAGTCTATGGGCTTTCCTTATATAGAAAAAACAATGTAGAAAACAAAAAATAAATACGAATAACAATAATACTGTATGTTTGGAGAGCCTTTGTTTTTATTTGTAAAGGTTACCACACAATTTGGTTTGTGGCGAATTCTGTTACCTAAAAATTTTGCTTATTGTGAGATTGTTTGACTCTTTAACGGGCATTAATTAGATTTTATAAAAACTGATAACAAATAGCTAAGTATTTGTAATTTGAAATAAAAACACACTTGCGTACAAATAAAAAGTAAAATTTGGTTGCATTATATTTACAAGATTTTACAAGTATTAAGACTTCACAGAGTCCTTCATTTTTTCCTATTATATATTAGTAACTTTTTTTTTAAAAAAAAATATTCACCCCAGTGGACCCCATTTAAATGTGGGTAAAACCCTCCTTACAAATTCTTCGTGAGAATCGAATCTAACCCTTGGTGAGAATCGGATCCTGGTCTGTCACCAGGAAAGACAGCAACCTAACCACTAACTGTCATTCAATTTTACATATTAATAACCTAAATATATATTTTTTAGTAACAATATAACCCTTTCCCAGAGTGGATTAACTTATTATACCAAAGTAAAGTGATGCGGGGACTATATCCTGTGATCTGTAAAGGCGGTATATGTTAAAAGCCTTGAAGTGCCAACAATCGGAGCCATAGTTCACGACTTGTATGCAGTTTATGAGTATATACTCGAGTTAATTTTTTTTGGGTCAAGGGTAAGCTTAGTATATTTCAACTGCACACAAAACACTATTACTTTTCCTGCACTATTACATAAAACACTACACAAGTATGCCTAAGTCTGTCAAAAACCTAACATCTGATGGTTTTCTTTTCCTACACAAAAACTGAACTGTGCAAGTTATATCTTTTTTAATACTCCTAGCTCTCACTTGTGCTGCTGTTTCTAGCTTTGTGACTCTTCTTTGGTTCCGTTCCATCCAAGTCTGGTAAATGACAGCATTCAAACAAGCCTAGACAATCCACTTCTTGACTTTGTTATGCCCCCAAATGCGACTGATTCTTCCAACCTGCAACTCTCTTATCACATTTTGCACCCCCAAGCCAATCCCTGATCTCCTGGATTACTTCTTGAGTATATGGACACCTGAAAAACAGGTGTCTAGCAGTCTCTTCTCTTCCCTGACACAGCAAACATTGATCATCATCAATTTGAATCCCCACTTTCTTTAGTCTCTCCACTATCAAGAGTCTACCTTGCCAAGCAAGCCAGCTAATCATGCTATGCTTTGGCAGGCTATACATACTCCATACAATCTTGGAAGGTTGAAAAGTCTTACCTTCATGCCATAACCATTTATTTCCAATTTTTGCAGTATATTGGCCATCTTGAGCTAAACACCTTCCATCAGCTCTCATATGCTCATAAAACTGATTTTTCAGCTTGACTAACTTCTTCCAATGCCAACTACTACTCTGAGAAGCAGTATATACTTTCCAATCTTCGTTCTTGATATAATATATATGCAACCATCTGATATACACGCTATCTTTTTTCTGAGCAATATCCCACAGTTGTTTCCACAACAGAGCTTTATTCTACATTATCGGATCCCTTATGTTTAATCCAACTTCTCCTTTTGGTCTGCATACTAAGTCCCATGCAACCAGATTCCAGACTTTGCCATTCTCCTTTCTTCCCCACAAAAATTCTCTACAACACTTCACAATATCCTTAACCACGTTCTGAGGTATCAGGAAGATGCTTGCCCAGTAAACATTCAAGTTGAGCAAGACTCAGTTGATCAACATGACTCTTCCTGCATATCATAGATGCCTAGTTGACCAACTACTGATTCTTCCTACTATCTTCTCAACCATCACAGCACAATCATGTTTAGTCCAGGATGTTGGTGAAATAGGCATACCAAGATACTTCATAGGAAAATTCCCAATTCCAAATCCCATAATTTGCTGAATTTGCTCCTGAGTTGACTGATTAACTCCACCAAAGTATATACAAGATTTCTGTAAGTTGATACTCAGCCTTGTTGTATCTACAAAGTGATCCAGAACCTTTTTAATTCTCCTGTTAGTGTCAATCTCAGCCCCACAGAAGATGAACAGTTCATCTGCAAAACTAAGTGAAACAATCTTCAGTTTGTCACAGAACACATGGTATTTGAACCCTCCTTTCTCAGCCTCATATTTAAAGTGCCTGGTTAAGTATTCCATTACCAGCACAAAGAGGAGTGGGGACATAGGATCTCCTTGTCTTAATCCTCTTTGTCCTTGGAAATAACCACAACTGCTACCATTGATGTTTAGTGAGTATGTACAAGTGGTCACACATTCCATAATCCACTGTTTTATACTTTGGGGGAAGCTATATTCTGTCAACATTTCTTCTATGAAACTCCAATGTACTGAATCATATGCTTTCCTTAGATCTACTTTCATTACACAACAGGGACCTGTATTCTTCCTGTTATATAGTCTAATAACCTCCTGAGTCAAGAGGATATTATGGAGAATAAGTCTCTTCTTAATGAAAGCTCTTTGATTTAAGTCCACCAGAACAGGCAACACTTGACTCAATCTGATACACAGCATCTTTGAAATGAATCTATATACTGAGTTGCAGCAGGATATGGTTCTGTATTCACTTCCATTAGTGGGAGAATCAACCTTTGGAATCAGTGATATCAGTGTATTATTTATCTGCTTTAACAGCTTTCTAGATTGAAAGAAGTCTAGCACAACATCACAAACTCCATCACCTACAATACTCCATGCCTTTCTGTAAAAACCGCTACAAAATCCATCTGGTCCAGGGCTTTTATTCATATCAATGCTCTTCATGGCAAATTGAACATCAGCCTTAGTATAACTTGCAGTCAAGTGAAGTTGCTGACTAATATTCAGTTTCTTCCCTGATCTGAATATTTCACTCTTGGCCTTTGTTCTTTGCACATTCCTGCCCAACAAATTAATGTAATACTGCTGGAAGTGATCTTCTACCTTATTCCAATCTTCAATCAATTGACCTGTTTCATTAATGAATGACCTGATTCGATTTCTGGCATTTTTCTGCTTCATATAAGCATGAAAGAATTTGGTATTCAAATCTCCTTCTTGTATCCATTAATTTTTTGTTTTCTGCTTCCAGTAACTTAAAACTATTGCACAGGTGAACAAATATTCCTCCCTAGCTCCTTTTTCTTCTTCCTACAACAGTTCATTATGCGGGTCATCAGGTATAGCTTGTTGCAACTCCTCCATTTTCACTTTACATTCCTGGTTCCTTGCTTCTATATCAGTAAACCTGCTCTTATTTAACATCTTCAATTTACTTTTTAACTTTTGTTATTTCTTAATCAATACAAACTGCTTACTTCCCCTTACTGCAGTTCCCCATCCTTGTTTCACAGTATATAGAAACTGCTCACATTGCCCCCACATATTAAAATACTTGAAGGATTTCTTCTTCTCATGAGCACAATCGCCCCATCTAATCATTACAGCTTTATGATCATAGATTCTTTTTGGAAGAACAGTTGTGAATGCACCTTCATAATGAGAGAACCAGGCATTGTTGATCAAAGTTCTATCTAATTTGGAGAAAATTCTACTATTCCCCATCTCTTTGTTACTCCATGTGAACTTTCCTCCTTGTGACTGCATATCCCCCAATTCATACTTCTCCACCCACTCTTTAAACTTCTCAGTGTCTAAATTCACTTCGTTCAACCCCCCAACCCTTTCATCAGAATATAAGACACAATTAAAATCACCCATTATCAACCATGGCCCATCAATCTTACTTGCCACCTTATCCAGATCCTCCCATAATTTCATTGTTCCTTGTAACAAGTTATCAGCATATACTGTGGTAACATAGTATTGCTTACTACTTTGCTTTTCTTGAACTATACAGAGAATCACCTGGTTTGTCATTCCCTTCAGTTCCACTACATATTCTTCTTTTCTCCACAGAACTAGAATTCTGCCCTTCTCATCAACTGTATGATTACTTAAGTAATCATAATCCTGCCATTTTCCCAACATAAGCTCTTCAACCTTCTCTCCTTTTAATTTGGTTTCTAGTAATCCCCCAAAACCACCTTTATTCACAGAAAGGCTTTGTTTCACCTCACTGTGTTTCAGAGGGCTATTAAGCCCTCTGATGTTCCATGCTAAGATATTATTCATGATTACTAGGCCCTATATTAGGGTGACTAGTATCAGAACACAACTTTCTCCTTTAGCCTTCCTTCAGGAACTTTCCTGCCTTGTTGATTCAGGATACAAATGGAGTGATCAGACTTGTCCTGTTTCTCGCTTCCTGTATCTTTCCTTCCATTTGGTGATAATTGATTCTCCTTCTTACTTGGGTTGTGTATTGTCTCTTGCCTTTGGTCAACAGTCACAACTTGCACAGGTTCCTTCATTTTAACTCCATCTTTCAGTAGTGCATTCAGTTCCTTCCAAACCTATTTAATAGGCACTCTACATTGTGTGCTCTCATGTCCATATCCATGGCAGTTTTTGCACTGGATGGACTTCCATTCATATTTCACTACCTGTTCCTGAAGATTTCCCTTCTCATCTTGAAACCATAACTTCTCCTTTACTTTTTCAGAGATCTCCACCTCCACTAACAGCCTTGCATATGATGCTCTATCCTTCAATGCAGTCATATCATCCATTTCAAATGGATTTCCTATCATGCGGGCCATCCTACTAAGTGAAGTAGGGTTCTAGTATCTCAGTGGTAGCTTAGGAAATTGAATCCACATTGGAACTTTCTTAATTTCCTCCATATTGACATCCTCAGCTACATTCCACTCTTTCACAATAAAAGGTTTCCCATCAAAATTATACACATTATGTTGTAGCATCTCCTCTTTTGCTGCCACAGATTTAAACCGAATCACATATACACCTGTTTCCAGCAACACAATCTTTTCTATCCCCAACCTTCTCCAATGCCTACGAATGAAACCAGATACCACAGTAATTGGTGGTCTTGCTCCCAAGATGTAACAAATCATAGAGCTTTTCCAATATTCTACTTCCAATTCAA